AGTCATATCTCTGATACCTCTTATGAGATGGACTTTTGAAATTTGAAACATTGATTGAGCTTCATTAGCTTATTCTATTGTAAGAATGTGAACCTTTTCAAAAGAAGAGCACTTCAAAGTGACAGATTGATTGATTGATTATCAAAATTATAAAGTACTTTCCATAAAGGCGGAAACAGACCATTTGGCTGAAAGGTGGGTCATATATTCATATACCTACCTATAGTGCAAGTAAAGGAAATAATCTAAAAATTAATACTACTTTATGGAGAGTAGGTACCTAGCTCTAAACGCATGAAGTAATATGGAATCGATTTGAGAACGGCTAGACCGATTTGGCTCTTAAAAAAAAAAAAAATGTTCGTAATAGTCCAAAAAGGTTTTTATGGAAAGAAAATGTGGGAAATACTGAGTTCTTTGTTCTATGAGATTTTATATAGTTTGTTTTTGTTTAATAATGGTTGCCATTAGTTACATGTCATAATACAGGTTAAGTTGAAATTGGTGGAAATTAGTATTTTTAAAATGACATATTCATGTTAATAGGCTGGATACACGTTTTTTGTTTCGGACCGATTTTGAGTAAGGTTTTCGTTGTCATGGTTAGGCACATATTAACAAAAAAATATTTTTGATTCATAGGTATTCCTTGTAGAAGAAAAATATCGAGTACTGTGATAGGTTTTATTCTCTATAAAAAGTTGTAACGTTTTTTATTATTGGATAAAGTCATTTTAAGTCACAAACGTCTGCCTATCAAAGTAGTGATATCTACATTGTGGCCAAGTCTGTTCTCTCTTTAATCAATAATCTTATAAATCTGAGACTTGGCTTCTTTGTGACAGTTATGTTTTTGTTAGATAGTAATATCAATGTCTACGAACACTATACATCCAATTAATGTGTAAATAAAAAATATTTTCAACCAAAATAATACTAATTATGGTCAAATAATTCATGAATATATTATGTTTAGCGTAAGTATCTATATAGTTTGGGTATTTGCATAACCCGGGTACAATAGGTGTTCAACCACCCTCGTGTATATTTTTCCATAAGTAGGTATTTATAAAAATGAATAAAATTAAAAAAATATATTTTGATATAGCCATATAGATATACCCTATACACGTATGTTATTTATACATTATATGTTTTTAATGTAACCCTTCCCATTGAAAATATTTGTGTTCGCCACTGCGCCCCTCCTGCACCGCCCGGGAAAATACGAATTACAATTTAAAATAAACGGACATTCCTCACATGTTGGGCTAGGCCACAGTTTCGGATAGGACTGCAAAACACACGCAGGGACCGGACGGACTGGTATAATATTATTAACTACATACATAAACATATAAATATAATATTAATGACAGGACACCGAGGCTGCAGGAGATAATGATGTGTATAATATCATCATCATATCGTTTCGCTTCATTTAACTCACTTGCACAATCCTGCAGCAGCGTTGTAATATCATTTGTAAAATTGAAAACAATCTAATATTATAAATAATATCAATACAATAGTTAATAGTAGGTACATTATGTTCCGGTGAAAAACGATATTGATAAATAAATAATATTTGTTGTCTAGGAAAGATTTGAAAAAAAATGAGAGTATAGAATTAGGAGATATAAATAATAATTATGGAATATATATATTATAATTTAAAGTTGGAACGACTTTGAGCTATATTATAAGGCACTTAACTAATAGCTGCAGTTAAAGTATCTATGAAATAAAAATAAAAATACACATATTACATATATACTCACGTCCAAATACATATTATGGTCTCTCATCTCACCGGGGAAAATCTATTTTAATCATATTATAAACTAATATAAAGACTTATCTGTGTGACTGTGTCTCTTACTCTCTTAAGTGGGCCATATTTTAATGAGGGGGGGGGTGGCTATGGCGGGGTAATCTGGTAAGGTAAATCTTATTCAAAACCATTTATTAGAACATGCATTTTTAAAACTTCGAACGATTTTATTATTTGCCTCTGACATTGCCTCAGTCTACCCCAGACTTCAACACACCTTAAAAATGGATAAAGCTCTTTCGATAAAAATTAAATTTCGTCGATATTACTACATATTTATAATATATTAAAACCAAAAAAAAAATTCAAAATACAGATTTTTATAGATACAAGTGCTTTGTAGACTTAGTGTCGCAAATATATATTGATACATGCATGTATTATGAAATATATTTCTCAATATAATATGCAAAATTGTAAACATCGTATAATATAATCTAATAAGTTGTAATATTAATTTATTTAAGTGTTATATATACTACTCGCTTTAATCAACACAAATACGACCAGCGGATTTGGATGGAACACTGCTCCTATTCCTAAACATGTTTGATGTCTAGACGAATCATGCATATGACCTATGGAAGTATATCCTGCAAGCACATTGTACGGATTTTGAATTGATACATTCATAAAGCTGTATAGTGTATCCAGATAAAAAAATATTTTTCATAATATATGATGTTCCTATGTATTATAAGTTATAATTATGCATCAACCTACTTAACTAAATGGCTATCACTACCTATTCATATTTATGATCATTTATAAATGATAAAAAAACTCAATATTATAATCATGTTATATGCATAAAAGAAAAAAAGGGAGTATAAATATGTATAGGTATATATTAAAGTAATAGTTTTAAAAGGTTTAAATTAAATTAAAATATATTACTTGTGTCTAGTGGTCGTCGTGGAGTGAGTCAAACACCAACTTGCTGCCACTAAAACACACGGACTATAATTCCACGGGACCATTAAAATACCCTGTAAGTAAATCATCTTATATTATTATGTTGATTGATAATATTAAAGAAATATATATTTTATGCTATATTTAATCATACTATGTATGGATGTTCTCCATTAAATGACGGGAAATCGAATATCTCTTTATGGTTCATTATAGTTTAATATATGGTACCTATTTTATTTTTAGTGTTTTAATGCTGATTTATATATTTTTTAAATAAATTCTAACTAAAAAGCTGTAAAAGTTTTAATTCATAAAATGTTGCCTAGCAATAACATTCATGGTCCATGTCTCAACAATTACAATATACCTAATACAGCCTATAAGCATATTTAGTTATATATTTTTTCTTTTTGTAAGTGTTAATTTTTGCAGTAGAACTGATAATGATGACCAATGAGTTCATATTTCAGCTGCAAAATTATGGCAACATTAAAAATATTTAGAAATATATTAATTTAGTTTTCCGACTATAGAAACTTGTATTAAATTTTAATTTATAGTTATAAATTTATAATATATTTAAATTTTAAATGTTGACTGTTCAAGAAGGCCAGTGCCCATGTGCAAATGTGAGTGGAATATAGGTACTATACGTTATTAGGGTTCAGAATTTAGGGAAAAATAAATGACAAAACAAGCTCTTCAAACGAGAACAAAGCATTTGATATGCTAAGAAGCAACTTAAAATATATTAATAGTTTCTAACCGAAATAATATATGAAAAAACTGTGTCCAATTTTTTAAATTAATTTAACATATTTCTATCAATTAGTTATTTTGTGTTGAAAATAAAAATGTAAAATCATATGTTATTGTAATAAATTTATAATTTAACATAAAATATTTAAAAAGTTATTTATTATTTTATCTAAAAAATGAAATTTAGGAATATCCTACAATTAGCATATATATTAAACGAGACACGTTTGTGTAAGTATACTTTTTATAATTTTCCAAAAAAAGAAGAAAAAGAATTTTTTTCATATCTGAACTATATTTTACACTCCATCAGTTTATTTCACTACTTGAAATTATTTAATTCTCGACGGAACTCTGTAAAATATAATTATTATATAATATAATTCAATATTAACAAACATTAATGCGTGTGTACCTCAATATCTATATTATAATGCATAATAAATATATAACAGAATTATAGAGTATTTTACTCAATTAAAACTACACATACAATGTTATAACCACAACATAATAACCTGAAATGTACACTTTCAATTCATTGATTGTATAATCCTTCCATTTATCGTAATGTTTTATAAAACTACAATATATTCTTTTTTTCTCAACAAACTCTGTATTATTCGATATCTACTTAGGTACTGGGTACACTCTGACTAACAGACTACCACTATATCATACAACTTAGGTATCTATTCTTAATATTCTCACTCGTCCTGTGCTGATGATGCCTCTATTTGCACTGTTTGTGTTTTTGCGCATGTATTCATTTGTAAATATGGAATAAAAAAGAATCTAAATGATCGTTGTGGGATTACCATCAGACTAATAGAAATTGTGGGCAATTTTTATTAGTTTTAAAAGAAATAATAAACAAATATTCTACTGTAACGTAACAATTATTTGCTTAAATAAAATATAATAGATAATAGGTAATAATCATCATTTGACGTTCAACATCCAGATAAATAATAATTAATATGTATATACGAGTTAGCTGTTATAAGATACACACATATTTTTTAAAGTATTATTTAACTTGTCTAAATAGAATTTCGTGAAATAAAAAAATCCTAGTCACATACGAGTGTAGTGGGTACTATATTATGTAGTCATGTAGGTAGTAGGTACTATATTCTATATATTTATAGTTGCTATTGGTACTCTAGTTAAGACTCAATGTTTTTACATGGAACCGTAACTTACTTGCAAATTATGCCGTCCAAGACAATTGCGTCAACATAGCAACAGAGATTAATAAATTGCGCAATATGTAACGCTTAAATAGATTTAATTTTTTTTTGTTCACGCCAAAAATGGAGTGACAAAATATTAATTTAGATTATTCTAACCTAATCATTACGGACTATTAGAAATAAATTATTTTCATTCTGATATTAATTATAATATTATATACATCCAAATATCTAATCATATCGAATAAGACATAAAATATAATTCATCAATAAAAAAAGGTTATCGGTTAACGGTTATATGCATAAACATATACTATATGCATGTTTAATGTATTTTAATTTTTAAATGCATTATACACAAATAAGATACAGCTCCGATAAACTATATTAATATTTATTATACAAAAAATTGATAGTTATACTATACATATATAATATATATACATTTTTTTCATTAGCTTTTAGTTATACTATTACAGCCCAACAATTATATACACAACATAACTAATTTTATAATAAAATATTAAACTAGAAAAATACAAAAAATTTTAAAAACAGCAATTATAAAATTATAAGATAAAACCAGCTTCCAAGATAATTTATAAAAATAATAAAATATATCTAGATATAAATATATCATAACATACATGTTACATTCAATAACAGTAGTGATTGTATCGACTGTTATATCATACAAATAATATTCATATTATAAAAAAACGACTATTATACTTGAGGACTTGAGTTAAACGAAAACGTTCTTATAATATCTAATACAGAGTGATTTCCAAAGCTTGTTCACCTCATTTTTTTCTTGAATTCAAATTCTGACTTTTAATTTTGTATATATTATTAGTAAGAATCATATTTCAATTATTCAGATTTTTATGAGCATGCTTGATAAATAACCCCGTATAATAAAGCTACTTATGGCTACATCAATATACATTTCGATATTGGTGTATATCATCATCACATCGCGTGCAGCAGTAATTCTACATCGCGACTGTTATAGTTGTGTGCTCTTCCCGTCATTTATGCGCAGGTCTAAAAATCGTACACCTAAACATGTCTATAAAACACAATATGCCGTGTACTAGAAAATATAACTATTATACATATAGTACACATAAATGCAGATATAAAAGATAAAAAATAATATCCGAGTATATAGTATATAGATAACGTACGTGCGTGCGTGCGCTGATGTACGAACATAATATCACATCGTGCACTCGACGTATATACAGTATAATAATATATAATTAAATGGAAGGGCGAATCAGTCGATGTCCCAAAGCATTGAAATATTCGTGTACCTCTATTTTATTCGTATATATAGGTAGGTACCTAATATTCTTGGCAAATATACACAACACGAAATCGTCAAAAATCAGCTGCAAAAAAAATGCAAGTACATATGTATATTGTATAAACTAATATGCTTGTAAGTTATTATTCCACTAATATATCAGCTACCAAAAAACTATGTCATTTTTGATATCCCTGTAACAAGTACGATGTTGAGAATACATAATCTATCTATCTATCTCCTGTACATTGTGGTAATAGGTATATATTATACAAATACGACGCAATGTAATTTTTTAGGTAACCCTCCGGTTGAAAACTAAAAATAGACACTTAAATTACATTCGCTTATGAATTGTTAAGCTGAAAAGGGATGACAACTGACAAGCGAAAACGTTGGATCTGTTATGATGAATACAAGTTCCACACTTATAGGGTATGCTTGTATACGTCATAATACATTCTCGGTTTATATATATATATATCGTATGTTATTGAGTAATACAGTGGTCTATATTACCGTTGCAAGCGGTCCCGTCGTAACACTAACGCATTTTTTATTTAAAAAGTTACAAAAATTAAATTGTTTGAATTCGTAGAGGGCATATAACAAGGCATCGACGAATTCGTATTGAAACAATAATTTATTGGCCTGTATACATACTGCAGCTTTCCTAATATACCTACCTACATTTTATTGTAATATAATATTATAATATGATGTGTAAACCACGAAACTACAACACATAATAACAATAATAATATCATACGTTTAAATAATGTACGAGGTAGGTATATTATAGACATATGGGTAATACGCGCACGCACCTGGAGATAGATTATTATACCTAGGTACCAATATATACACATTGTTCTGAGCGTTCCACTCGGTTCAACACCTGCCGCGCGTATGGTGGTACCTAGGTATAGCGATCGCCCGACGGACGGCCGACTAAAATAATAATAATATACCTAGCTAGTCGCAGTCGCGCGGCAGACCGTCTGTACGGCGTACGCGTGTCCGCAGTCACTAAAACACTGCCGTCGTTCGTCGTCGTTTGAAAAAAAAGTACTATCAACAATTGAGTAGTAAATATGATTTACGGTTAACCACAACTCGTCTTCGTGTTCGATACGCAATATTCATCGTTATTATGACTTGACGCGGACGCGTATAGAGTGCCGCCGATTCGTGAGTTTTGTGAAGTTTTGACGTTCGCGCGTGCCTTTAAAGTCGCGACTCTATACAACGTTTACATTATCGTAATATTCGGGTAAATTGTGTATTAAATATATAATATACGTCGATAATATGCCTATGTTCAACCGGAAAACCGTGCAAAAAATCAAGGACGACCCGGCCGCGGTGCAGCACAAGCACAACGATCACGACGATCAAGTGAAACAAAACTTAGTGTTTCACTGCCAACAGGCCCAGGGCAGTCCGAC